GAACAGAATGGAGGAGAAAGCAGGAAGATAGTCACACAAAAAAAGATAGATATTAAAAACCTGACTCTTCTGACTTATGCTAACGGTCTTCTCTTTCCTCTTTTAACCAAAAACAATAAAAATTGAGAATATGGAATATTAAAATGGAGAATCTGTTTCTTGTGGATCTTACAGAGCTAAACTAAATGCAGGCCAGAGTGCCAACTTTGGCTGTTAAGATAGTCTGGCAGGTTCTGAGCCTATGAGAAACTGTTAAGTAGATGATCTGAGCTAGAGAAATAAGTTTGTTAAGAACTGAGTAGGAGAAAGGACATGTTCCAAATGAATGATAAAAAAATAAAATTGGGTATGCTTTTGTCATTTATAGACAAGTACCAATTTATGAACTGGTTGTGTTCTCAAAAGTTCAAATGGCTATGGCAGCAACAACAGACAAGTAGAATGGAGGGAAATAGAAGTAGTTCACTGATTGCTGGAAAGGACCTTCAAAAATTCATAATCCAATGCTTATACTGAGGAGGAAGAAAATGGTTCAGACAAGTTGATCATCTTGCTTAATATCACTGTGAGATTTAGGAACAAAGGTGGGTCTTGGGATTCCCCAGGCAGTCCACTAATCATGCTGTGTTGTCTACAAGAAGGAAGCCAGTAAAAATAATTATGGTGAGGAGCAGAGGAGTAAGAGGTGGGCTGCCCAGATGACGGGGAGACAGGAGGGAGAAGAGGAAGTGAAGGTGGTAGGAAAGGAACACTCAGAAACAAGGGGCAGGAAGTGTGACGCCTGATCTGGGTCCCATCCTACCTAAAGTAAACAATTTGGGTGCATTCTGAGTGGTGGCTTCCTACATGTGGACGTTTGGTTTCACAGAAGATGTGACACACAAGGAGAGAAATGGCCAAGATAGAGTCCACAAGTTTTCAAAATCTCAGCATTTCTCACTGCTGTTTTCTAAGCCCCCTGAAATTCATTAATTTATTCAACAAATATTTACGGAAGCCCCTATCTGTGCCAGGTGCTGTGCCAGGCCAGCTGGCTATAGGAGTAATACTGGCAAGGTACAGTTCCTCTGGGGTTTGCTTTCTAGTGAGACAGATGAAACGTAAGCCAATCGATAGGATGATGTCCCGTTGTTAAGTGGTATGAAGAAAACACTACAGCAGCGGTTCTCAACCTGTGGGTCGCAACCCCTTTGGGGGTCGAATGACCCTTTCACAGGGGTCGCCTAAGACCATCGGAAAACACATATATAATTACATATTGTTTTTGTGATTAATCACTATGCTTTAATTATGTTCAATTTGTAACAATGAAATTGGGGGTCACCACAACATGAGGAACTGTATTAAAGGGTCGCGGCATTGGGAAGGTTGAGAACCACTGCACTACAGGATTAATATGGTAGTGACTGGAGTATCTACTTTCCTAGTAGATTGGATGGTCAGGAAAAGCCTCTTTGAGGTGACAGTTGGTGACAGGCCAAGAGCTTAAGATTGAGATGTCTGGGTAGAGAGCATAGCCCACACAAAGGCCCGAGTGCTGATCCGTCCTGGTAGGTTTGCGGAGCCCCCAGAAAGCCCATGAGGCTGTAACTGGTGAGCAAGGAGGAGAGATGAAATGAGGTCATGGGGTGAGCTCAGCCCTATCAGGCTGGTGCCTGTGTTCATTTAGCAAGTATTTATTAAGCACCTAGTGTGCCCAAGGCATTGACGAGCATACAGAAATGGAACTGAGAAACCCCTATCTCAAGGATTCTGTCCCCAGGGAAGAAGTTAAAGTTTAGTGAGGGTGACCGAATATTCAAAACAACTTTGGTACAGACGGGGACACCCTAGATGTACAGAGCCGCGGCCTGAGGTCAGAGATCCGGCCGGCCATCTCCTCGCCCCATAGGGAGGTAGGGTCTTTCCGGAGATGAGTAACCGAGCCCACCTTTCCTCAACGGGTGCGCCTTCTCGGTCCCCGTGGGTGGGGGCGGGCCACAGAAATCCCCAGCCGGCTAGGTCGGCCGCGCGGTGATGAGCACCTGATTCACCGAGCCCGTCCGGCGGGGCAGCTGCTCGGAACAGCCCCGCCCCCGCCCCGCGAGGGGTCCCAGGGAAGAGGCTGGCGGAAGTCTGGGTGACTCTGCCCTCCCGCGGCGGCCCGTGACGCTCGGCTGGGTGGGGCGCGCCTGCGCGACCCCCGCCCCCGCCCCGCCCGCCGGCTCGGGAAACGCCGCTGCCCCCCTGGAGTCCGCCGCCCGTCGGAGCCTGCCGTCCGCGCCCCTCCCCCGCCGGACGCCGGAGCCCGACTACAAGTCCCAGGGAGCCGGCGGGGAGGGGGCGAGGGCCTCCCTCGGGGCGGACGGGCTGAGCGGCACCAGTTCCCGGCTGGGACGCCGCCGCTCTGCCCGGCCGTGCCGAGAAGTCCGCGTCGGACGAGCGGAAAACCCCAGGGCCCGGCCGCGTCGGGAGCCGGCCGCGCCTCCGGACGCCCCAGATTCCCGTTGTTGTTGTTTATAGTCAGTGCACGAAATTCCTCCCCAGCGCCTCCTCCCTCCCGCCCCACCTGCTCCTCGGCCTCCCGGCCCCGCCACTAGGGAGCCTGCGCCCTCAGAGCCCGGTGTCGGAGCGGGTGCCGGAGCGCGCATTCGGCCGCCATGGGGAATGGGATGAACAAGGTAACGTGTCTGTCTCTCATTTGGGCAGGTTTCGCCTCCACCTCTCAGCCTCCCTCCGGCGGGAGCGCTGGGCTCCCCACGTGCCTCCCGCGGAGGGGGGTGGGGGGCGGTGCCCCAGGCGGCGCCGGGCTCTCTGGTTTGGGGGCGCCCCTGTGGGCCCCGCTTCCGGCGCGCCACCCCCGCCCAGCCTACCGCCTCCGGGGAGACGGCCTGCGCACCCTTCGCGGTGCCGGTCGCCGTTCCGCTGCCCCTCCCCCGCCGCCGAGCTCGGCGCTGCGGCCCCCCTCCCTCTCACAGCCGGCTCCGGAGGCGTCGTCAGGGTGTCGGCAGTAAACCGGGAGATCGGTTGTCTTCCAGTCTCTAACCTTCTCTCCGCAGATTTTGTGTATTTGTCGTGTGCACAGACAAGCCCTGTGGACCGAGAACTGACAGGCCCGAGTCCTCAGGTGCTTCAAACACCGCACGTGGGGCGGGGCGGCGGGTGGGAGCACGGGCTCCGCGGAGGGGCCTGGGTCGGTGCTGCTGCGACCCGGCCCGCCCGTGGGCCGCGGGCTGCGCGGGCGTGCCCGCTAGACAGCCGTGCAGCGCTCCTCCTGCTCCGCCGCCGCCGCCTGCCCGCCTTTCTTCCCAGGCTGTGGGCTAGTTTTGTACCGTTCCTGCCACTGGTAGGAGGTGGCAGGAGTGGTACCAGCTCTTCAGCTGCGAGTTGCCTGGGGTGTATGTATTCATGGTAAAAGTTCTGTGATCTGGTACTGGTGGCTTAAAGGAAAGATTTACAAAACATTTTTAAAAGCCCTCAACAAAGACAAGTTCACAGATCTGTGAGATGGTCCTGGATCCGAGAGTAGCTTCTGGTCTGCTTCTCTTCCCCCCTCGAATCCCACTCACTTCTCCACATACACTCAGCACTCACGTTCGGTGGATGTAACATTGTGGCTTTCTTTTTTGATTTGTCTCCATACTGGGGTCAGCAGTGACCTGGTTCCTTTAGCTGGAGTGTCAAGGGTGGGGTAGGGAGTGTTAGGGGACAAGGTGGGGAAGGAGACTTACAGTAGAAGTAGTCCTGTGTACCTTCTTAGCTCTCCGCCTGCCCACATTGTTTCTTGTGTTCTGCAGATCCAGTTGATGAAAGAACTACTTACTGTGTTTTGGGCTTGCATACCTGAGGGTTTTTTGGGAACCAGAATTGTATTCATTGTGTGTGGGTGTTTTTGTTGGGGGTTGGGGGAGTAGATGGTGGGGTAGTGATCAAATTTGGAAACAGACTATTTGGCTTTTGGATAACCACTTGCACTGTGTCCCCATTAGTACTGGAATCCATCAGCACCGTGAGTCTTCTGTTTATTAAATTAACACAAAACAACAGTAAAGCCGCTTGCATAAGTTTTGGGCCCTGTCTGCTTTCCCATTAACTGGTCATACCTCGGCTTTCCTTTGGTTCTTTCAACACTTTTTCCCACTTAAATTGCTTACTTTCCAGCTCTTTTAGCATTTCATTTATTACATTTATATTATAACTCAAAGAACATATTTCAAAATACAAATGATTGCCCAAGGGTTCAAAATTAACTTAAGGCTTTTCAGTAAAATGTCATATCATAAATTTACCCTTCAAAGAAAGTAATAGATTTCTTGATGGTGTTATTATCCTAACCATCTTGTGTTGTAAATAGAACCACTATCTCCAATGTAGAGATGGCGAAACATACAGACAGATTTAGAAACATCCTTAATTCAACAAATATTTATTGTGTACTTGCTATTATAGTCAGGTGCTGTGCTAGTGGAGCAGGTGGGGTGAAAGTGTGATGGTAATGATACAGACAGAACCTTCAGTATAGACCAGCGATTGCCCAATAGAAATATGTGAGCCAAGTATTTAATCTAGATTTTTTAGTAGCCACATTAAAAAAGTAAACAGAAACAGGCTAAATTAAAGTTAGTAATCTATTTTATTCAAATGAAATATATTCAGAATTTTGTCATTTCAACATGTATCCAATATATAAAATTATTTATAGAATGGTTTACAGTTTTATGGACTACGTCTTCAAAGTCTAGTGTATATTTTATATTTAAATCACATCTCATTTTAAGTACTCAGCCATGGGTGTGTATGTATTACTGTATTACACAACATGGGTGTGTGTGTGTGTGTGTGTGTGTGTGTGAGAGAGAGAGAGAGAGAGAGAGAGAGAAAGAGAGAGAAAGAGAGAGAGAAGGCCCGCATAAAAACAGGGTGGGAAGGAATACAAGCTCCAGGATAAGATGGGCAATTTCAGGAGCATGGGGTAAGTAGATGTGATGAGAGAAGGCTTGAAGTGTCATTCAGGCCAGGCCAAGGATCCTGCTGGGGTAGAGATGTTTAAGCTGAGATCAGAATGTATTACTCAAAGTTACAAGGTTAGTTAGTGGCAAAGTAGGTTGCCGGAAGCCAGAAATTAAAAGCCTTAACTAGAGTTTGTTCATGTCTTATTGTATGACTTGGAATTAGGCTTCATATTTTCCCTATCTATAAAAGAAAAAATAAAGGTTGATTTGCAGGATCAGTGGAATTATTATAAGGTGCTAACCATAGAAATGCTTTTCTAAGCACTTTTATGAGTAATGTATAATGCCCTTCAAACTGAAAACGTAATCTACAGTACGTGTGTCCTGAGGTTACTGGGACAAGATTTCTTTCCAATCTGTCAAGTTAATCATCCTTGACCAAAGAAAACTTATGAACTAAACAATGCAGATTCCATTCTGACTGCTTGGCATTTTTACTGATATTTCATGCCCCCAGGGAGGATCTTATCCATATGTTCCAGTCTCTGGGAGAGCACCATGCCCATCTCAGTTGGGTGTATACAGTGTGTTACACAGAGAGTGTAAGGGAAAAAGGCTTCTTTGTTCTGGCCAATTGAAGACGATGAGGAAATACAGAAAAGAGAACACAGCAATTGTGATCTCTTATTTTTTTGAGCCTCATATTATGTGCCTGCAGTTTGTAAAATCTAAGCCTCACTACAGCCCTAGGAGGTCAGCCTGTCTTTTCCTTTTTGTACAGATTGGAAATGGAGACTTGTACAGATTGGAGAGATGAAGTAGCATGATTAAGGTCCTACCAAATGCTAGGAAGTGGCAGGACTGAGTTTGGAACCCAGTTCCCACTGATTTTAAAGATAGGAGAAGCCTTTCCTTTGACCTGGGGTGCCAGTTCAGCCCAAATACATTCTAAAGATGCTAAAAAATAACTTGAGAAAGCTACCCAGAGTTCCAAATTAATTGCAAAATAGGAAAGCCACCTCCTCTCTTTCTTCGTGTTTGACATTGATAAAGCAAAAGGAGGGAAAGGGAGGCAACTAAAACTATCGTTTCATTCTCTTTTGTGCAATTCCCAAATAGATTCTCTGAACTGGTCAATTTATAATCACTAATGAGCTTATTGTATGCCGGGGCAAGTCTTGAGACTTTACCTCTGATCCTCACCACAGCCCTGTATAGTAGGTACTGTTATTTGTATTCCTGTTTTACAGATGAGGTACAGAGTTTAAGTGACCAGCCCAAAGTTACCCATCTGGTGAGTGGCAGAGCCTGGACTCTAAGCCAGATGATCAGGTTCATAGCCATAACACAGAGTGCCTCTCTGTGCTGCTAAAAGGGTCAGACTAGTACAGTGGTCGGCAAACTCATTAGTCAACAGAGCCAAATATCAACAGTAAAACGATTGAAATTTCTTTTGAGAGCCAAATTTTTTAAATTTAAATTATATAGGTAGGTACATTGTTATTAACTTAATTAGGGCACTCCTAAGGCTTAGGAAGAGCCACACTCAAGGGGCCAAAGAGCCGAATGTGGCTCGCGAGCCTCAGTTTGCCGACCAAGGGACTAGTAAATGTCTCTGTGAGGATTGGAGTGAAACTGAATGCGATTGCATGCAAATATCATGTTTCTGTGGAGCCTTCTCAAACTCCTAATTGCCTCAAAGTTCTCTCAAGTGTCTAAACCCCCAAATCTTTTGGGGAGGACCTATAAAGAAAATGACTATCTCATTATCATCTTATTAGTCTTAAGTAGTAATGTAATACCCCATCAAAAACAAATACCCATTTTTTCTAGCCAGCATTATATTGGAGAAACCGGCCCAAATTCGGCTCTAAATGTATGTTTTTATCTTGATCAACCTGAACTAATGACCTAGAAGTGGGCTAATATGTTATCATCCTAGGGTAGGATCTGAGAGCATCTTCTGGCTTAAAAGACAGTTCATCCAGCACCCAGCTGCCCAGTCTGGTAGCCTCTTCCTTCCTCCCACTCTGCTCTGTGTCCTCTAAAAGCAACCTTCTGGGTGAAAAGGGATGTTGTCCTAGTATTTCATGGGAAACTTGCTTATGATAATAGGAGGCAAACACTTCAATTAGTGCATCACTTTTTTTTTTAAATATATTTTATTGATTTTTTACAGAGAGGAAGGGAGAGAGATAGATAGTTAGAAACATCGATGAGAGAGAAACATCGATCAGCTGCCTCCTGCACATCTCCCACTGGGGATGTGCCCGCAACCCAGGTACATGCCCCTGACTGGAATCGAACCTGGGACCTTTCAGTCCGCAGGCCGACGCTCTATCCACTGAGCCAAACCGGTTTCGGCGAGTGCATCACTTTTAGATGAGAAGCCCACTATTGTAAAAGAAAGAGGGACAAGCTACCAGAAAGCCTGACTTAGAGTGTCTCTCACTCTGCTGCTTCATGCTGCAATCTTGAACAAGTCACTGAATGTTTCTTTTCTTTTTTTTTATTTAAAGAAAAACGATTTTAAATATAACAATGTTATATGCAATAAACATTAATATCTCAAGAAAAATTTTAAATATGATAATGTTACATGCAATAACCACCAATTATTCAAGAAAAATGATCTTACATAAAATAATATTACATACAATAAACAATATTTCAAGAATAAAAGGATTATAAGTATAATAATATTACCAAAACTGTACTAACATAGTATATCACAAAAGTTGTAGGAAATATTAAAAATCTGCAAATAACAGGATTACTTCTATTATATTCTAGTATATTTTTTCTCCTCTGGCTCTATTTTGGTTCATTAGTTTGTGTTGTTCATTATATTCCACAAATGAGTGAGATAATATGATATTTATCTTTCTCTGACTGGCTTATTTCGCTTAGCATGATGCTCTCCAGGTCCATTGCTGTTGCAAATGGTAAGAGTTCCTTCTTTTTTACTGTGAATGTTTCTGAGCTTTGGTTTCTCTATTCCCTCGATTCATAGGGATGATGGGTAGCTTATCTAGTCTCCTATTTGCTCTAAGATGAGTTTAATGATACTTCCCCAAGTTTCTGCCCAGATTCTTGAGAGAAGCGAATGAGAATTGATTAGAAGACATTTTTACAAGCTGTAAAGTGCAAATCTGCACTTGGATTTGGCGCATCAGTAGTTACAGTAGTGATGGCATCTGCCTTGGATATGGTCGACACCTGTGGTAGCATAGCTCTTTTCTCCTTAGGATGATACGGGGAGTATAGTTGCTGAAGGAGTGTAGTTCAAGGGGAAAGAACTCAGGGGATATGCCCCCAAGGCAGAGACAAGGGTTTCTCCGCCTCTGCAGTATTGAGTTTGAGCTGTAGCATTCTTTGTTGTGAGGACTGTCTTGTGTACTATGTGGGAGGTTTAGCACTATCCCTGGTCTCCACCCACTAGATGCCAGTAATCCCCTCTTCCCATGTCACAACCAAAAATGTGTCCAAGCATTACTGCTAGATGTCCCCTGGAGGGCAAAATCATCCCTCATTGAGAACCACTGACTTAGGGTTCTTCACTCAGAATCTCCTGACGTCTGTGTTATCTGGAACCCAATCATTCTTAAAGGCCGAAGAGGGCCTAAGAGATAAAGAAGCACTGTGTAGTATGGGAAGAAGCTAGAACAGCCGTGGGCAAACTACAGCCCGCAGGCCGGATCTGGCCTGTTTGAAATGAATAAAACTAAAAAAAAAAAAAAGACCGTACCCTTTTATGTAATGATGTTTACTTTGAATTTATATTAGTTCACACAAACACTCCATCCATGCTTTTGTTCCGGCCCTCCGGTCCAGTTTAAGAACCCATTGTGGCCCTTGAGTCAAAAAGTTTGCCCACCCCTGAGCTAGAAGGTCAGACATCTTTGTGCTGTTAGATGCTGCAGTTTCCACATGATGGCACCTGACTTTACTTCCTTCATAATCTATTCAGTTGTCCATTTGCCCAGTCATCAAATTATGTTATTGAACACCTGCTATTGTCCAGGCACTGTGTTAGACCCTGTGGGAAATAAATGTACCATCCAAGTTGGTCTGAAGCAACTTACAGAGATGACTCCCTCTGTGGGAGGCAAATGTACTGTGAGTGGCACCTGTACAGATGTGTCTGTGGGGCTGATGGACAGATGGCACTGTGTTGGTGGTCTCTCTATCCTCTCAACACTACTCCCTGCATATTTTCTCTTTTCAGCATTACGGATTCATTTCATATTGAAGGAACAGATGCTTACGGCATGTAAGTGCACGCAAGAGTATTCTCAGATTCTTTCTTTTGTAAGTGCAAACTGGTTAACTTCTTAGCCAAATGGCATTAAGAAAGTCTGTGACATTTAACCCTTCAGGAATCCCCCAGTGTTCTCCCCCTCACCCGTGGCTTTAAAACTCAGAAAGTCCTTTCTGACCTAGGGAGAATTATAAGCCTTCCTCCACCCCCATTACCTTGTACTACTGCTTGATCAGGAATTTTCTCCCTTATATCTGTTTGGGTGGTGGTCTTAGATTCCATGGCATCCTGAAATACTAAGAAATGTTTAAAAAGTAATCTCAGAATATTTCCTGCCTTAGAAATAGTATCCTTTTGTGTTTAAAATCTTTCTTGCAGCTAAGGATTTGATTTTATGCATTTCTGTATGACCAGTATTAGTAAGGTGTGGATGTGAACAATATTGATCAAGAGGAGCCATCAACCATGGAAAATTTTTAGCATGGTCTCAAAGTATTACTGCAGAAGGAGTCTACCTTTCATTACCTATCTCCAGACAGTCCTTTAACAAAAATAAGTATCTTTTGACCAGCAGTGCCAGCATCTTCCTTCAGTGATTATCTCTTCATGTGCCAGACTCAGTGGCAGGCTTTTGGGACACAGCAGGGCACAAGACCCTGCTTCAAGGTCAGTCAGAAAAATAAACAAATAAAATAATTTTAGGTCTTGATAAATGCGATGAAGAAAATAAAACAGGGTGATATGGTAGAGGTGTTAGGGAGTTAGGTGGTCAGGAAAGACCTCCCTAGGAGCTGTCATCTCATGGGAGACCTAAGTAACAAGGAACCACCTAGGTGAACAACAGGGAAAGAATATCCTTGGCAGAGGGAAGGAACAGTTATTTCCAAGGCCCAAAGGTGATTAGGACCAATTCTGTACTTATTCTTTTAGAGTCATAGAATATTCCCAAATTGCATTTACTAACTTCTCTCCTTAATCTGTCCTTACTTTCTACCAGGTGTGAGTTCACTGTCCATGCTGTCCCTGGTGAATTCTCACCTCTTCCCTGGACTCCTCTACAAGCATCTGTCTGCTGGAAAATTATTTTGTTTCACTTTATTGTCTCCTTTTTTGAACTTAGATATTATTAGTAACAATAATATTGGGGAAATAGGGTCAAATTTTTTTATTTTTATTTTATTTTTTTTAAATTATATTTTATTGATTTTTTTTGCAGAGAGGAAGGGAGAGGGATAGAGAGTTAGAAACATCGATGAGCCGAAACCGGTTTGGCTCAGTGGATAGAGCGTCGGCCTGCGGACTGAAGGGTCCCAGGTTCGATTCCGGTGAAAGGCATGTGCCTGGGTTGCGGGCACATCCCCAGTGGGAGATGTGCAGGAGGCGGCTGATCGGTGTTTCTCTTTCATCGGTGTTTCTGACTCTCTGTCTCTCTCCCTTCCTCTCTGTAAAAATCAATAAAATATATTTAAAAAAAAAAAGAAACATCGATGAGAGAGAAACATCATCAGCTGCCTCCTGCACACCCCCTACTGGGGATGTGCCTGCAACCAAGGTACATGCCCTTGACCGGAATCGAACCTGGGACCCTTCAGTCCGCAGGCTGACGCTCTAGCCACTGAGCCAAACCGGTTAGGGCAAATTTTTTTTATTTTTAAGTTTGAATTACAGTTTTAAGTTTGGTATAGAAATTTAAATATTTATGGGCTTTTATTCCTCTAGAAAACAAAAATTGAATTTTTCTCCCTGCCAATGGTCCTCCAGCCGTCCTTGATCTTGTTTTGTAATTTTATGTGGCAGAAACTGCAGAAACTGAGATTGAGCAATTTGCTTTTTATTTCCAGCCCTTGAAACTCTAGCTTACTCTTCTAGTCTGGAAAATTGAGTTAAAAGTTTACTGACATACTCTGTTGTCTCCTTATATTACTTAAAAATATTTTAACTGAATACAGAATGTGCATCTTAAATGACTTTAGTAAGTGGGCTTCTTGATTTTAGTAAGCTCAGATCTCTGCCTTTGCCAGCTCTTGCCCTGGCATCCCTCAGGGTGCTGCTTTCCTCAGCCCAGCCCCAGTGCCCCAGCCTGGTTCACTGACCCCAAAGAGAAACCAGCCAGGGCAGAAAGGGACACAATTTCATCTCACGGGTTTCATTCACCATTGTTTTCATATCTCTCCTTTCCTTGCTTTGACTCCTCCCACCCTATTCACTTGTTTATTTGTTCATTGAAAAAACATTTACTTGAGTACTCACCAATCTAGGGGAAACCATTTGAGTTTAGACAAAACATGTGCAGGCAGCAGGTAAATTAGACTGTTGTGGGCTATAGTCAGCCTGCATTTGTGTTTTACTTATCTATCGCAATGTTTAAGATTGTTTTTCTTAATGTAGTTGACAGTGTTTGAAAATTGGGTTGTTTCCCATAAAACCTGGATGCTGGGTTGGGGGGCCTGGCCTGTGTCTGCCTTGGATGAGGGGAAGATGGGTGAAGGTGCTAAGCATAGGGCAGAGGCTGTAGACATAGCAACCTTGGTCCTTGCAGGTCTCATTTGCTGAGGTGTCATATGTAGGTGTCATCCTGATAGCTACTTGGAGCCCTAAGAAGATTTTAATCTGAAATAACCACATGATGAGCTTTGCACCTTGGAGGTAGGTTGAGGAATCTTTGGAGTTGTCAAGTCCAGAGGTAGGGAGATGTCTAGGAAGCTGTTGCAGTAAGTCAGAGGGGAGAGCTGAAGAAGCTGAACACAGGAACTGCACTAAAGTTTCGAGAGAAGCAAATAAATGTGTGTGTGTGGGATGTGTGTGTGTGGGGGGGGGGTGTAATTGAGTACGTAGAAGGAAGTGCTAAGTGAGGCATAAGTGGAGTCCAGAGGAGGGAGGAGCCTCCTGTCAGTAACCTCCAACTGGTCAGTGGAGTACTGGTGGGGCTGCTGCTTTCAGGGCTGGGTAGGACTTTGCTAATTGGTGACTTGCCTGATGGTCTGTGAAGCTCAAGTGCATTTTTGTATTTTTTCTGGATTCAAAGGCCTACATCAGGGTATGTGGTCTCAACAAGAGAACCCAAATGTGGCTGCTTTGTATAGAGCAGGTCAGGCTCTACAGTGGTTTGTGCATGTGCCATCAGTTTTTAGCAAGGCAAAGATGCTCAATGAAATCCATGCCCTGAAGAGCGTCACTGGGTGCTACTTTCAGATCTCTTAGTAGAAGTGGGCAAAAAAGAGGGAGTGTGGAGCAGAGCCGGGTACAGGGTAGTATTGTTACATGAGGGTGTTGCCTGGGCACTGGGGGTCTGTAGGGAAGTGTCATCAAGACCTGTGTGCTGTGTGCACTGGGAAATCTGTCTGGTGCTCTAGCTTCTGCAGCAGTGTCCCTAATTGGACTTTAGAGTTTCCATACAAAGTATTGGCAAGACAAGAATGAGTTTCTGGTTTCGTATTTTGCAAAGTGTGAAAAATACAGTACCTGTTCTCATCTCAGATCTACTGAACCATTTTATTTGGGGGCTGGGGGTGGGGGCTTGTCCAGAAATTTGAATTTTTAACAGATTCTGGTGGATAGTTTGGTTTGAAAACACTGTCTTAGGGAAGTAGATGTTTAGGAGCAAATGTATGTTCTTAATTAACTTGCCCGTTTAGACAGTCCATTCATTCATTTAGCAATTTTTTGTTGAATGATAATCATGGGCCAAGCCCTGAGCCAGGAGTTGGGTGTGCAGCTGTGAGTGACAGGATGTGTTTGCTGCCCATAAAGTTTTCCAGCCCAGCAGCGGGCACAGACCTTCACCTTGTAGTGCCCCTGTGACAGCATCACTACAAGGGGAGCACAGCAGACTGTGGGCACTGAAGCAAGGGTCTACTCCAGACTTGGGGCTCAGGACAGGCCTCCTTTGGGCATGAGACATAGCTGCCTAACAGTGGGAGCAGCATGCACAAAGTCCTCAGACAGCAGAGGGCAGGTTTGCTAGAGTTGTGAGAGAAGCCTTGCATGTACAGCAGGTGTAGAGGGTGGTGGAGGGTGTATGTAAAAGGAGGAGTCATGGAGAATCCTGGTCTTTCAAGTTCCACAAGTCAATGGGCACCAACATGCAACCATCAGTAGGTAATTTGGGCAGGCTTACTATTGGCCATGGGAAGGCAAGAGCCTGGAGACAGGGATGCTCACTTGTGCGTGCTGTCCATCTAGGGAGGTGCTGGGAGTGGATGTGGCAGGTGACAAGCCTGAGCTGTGCTCCAGCTACTCTGCTGACGGTTCAGCCTCTATACGCAAAACACTGTCAGTTTTAGGTCCCTAACACTCACATCTGGTCTGTGTCTCTTCCCTAGATCCTGCCTGGCCTGTATATTGGCAACTTCAAAGGTGAGTTCTCTTTTCTTTTGTATTATTGTGGTAAAATATGTATAATGTAAAATATACCATTTTAACAATTTGTAAGCAATTCACATTGCTTGTAACCATCACCACCCTCCTCCAGAACTGTTTGATTTCCCCAACTGGAAGTTAGTACTTTTAATACCCACTTAGTACTAATGATAGTACCCATTAGATACTACCTCCTTATCCCCACCTCAGCCTTTGGTAACCACCATGCTACTCTGTGTCTATGAATCTGACTACTCTAGGGGCCTCACATGAGTGGAATCATGCAGTATTTGTCCTTTTGTGTCTGGCTGGTTTTACTTGGCATAATGTCCTTAAGGTGCATCCATGCTGTAGCATGTGTCAGAATTGTCTTTCTTTTTAAGGCTGAATAATATTCCATTTTATGTATATACCACATTTTGTTTATTCATTCATCTGTTGATGTACATTTGGGTTGCTTCCACCCAAAGGGAAGTTTGCTTTTTAAGAGGTCACTTTAGCCTTCTCACCTATGATCGAACCAAGGCGTAAACTTGGTTTATTCAAAGTCTGGTCTGGAGGTGGCCACCACTTGTGCTAGACCCCTTGTGGACTGGACCCTCATCCTCATGCCGGACCTCTTGGCCAGTGTTGACTGAGTGGTATGAGCTTGCAGGTTCCAATTGGACCTCTGACCTTCATTTTAATTTTGTATACATGTTCGAACATGATCTAAAGCAGCTGGCTGAAAGACACATTTAGCAGCCATGTAATTTATTTATAATTTTTATCACTTTTTTCTAGTTATTAATAAATTTTCAGAAACCTGTTTTTTTAATCACCTGGAAAAGATAAGAGGCAATTTTATCTTTAGCAGATTATTCTCATCTTGTATTGACTTTTCTTTATACACATTTTTCTGCAGCTTATTCAGTATGTGTTTGATTTGCTGTCAGTTGTTGACTTTTTATTTTTAGCTTATCTGTCTCAAAGTGTTCTGTGGTCACAGAGGTGAGTAGAAACCCAAGGAGCCAAGTGGATGGCAAACAGACTTTTGATTTCCAAGGAGGTACCCATGCTATGTGACACTGAGTGAATTTAGTGAAAACTGGTTCCTGAGCATGGAGACAGGGTGTGCTCAATAGGAGAGAATACACAGAGGAAACCTGCAGAAACCAGCCAAGCCAGCCTTGTTGGGCTGAGAGCCAACTTTCATCATGGGATCTGAGACTCCACCCTCCTCGAGCAGGCCAGCACACATTGCTGTCAGTTTCTGGTTGTTGCTTAAATTCGTGAGTTCAGAATCAAGTTGATTATAAAAACCTGTATGATTTCTCTGCATAATATTTGTTCCTCTTTTTCCCAGAAAGCTCCCAGCTTTGCTAGTTTCCTCAAAGAGAATTAGGCACAGGAAGCTGACAGCTAGCTGCTAATTGCTACTAGAACTCACTAAAAATAGTACTGGAGTTCCTAAATCAGATTTGTAGTTTGGGAAAAGCACCAAGTGCAAGGGAGTTGTTCAGGAAAGCTGGAATCCTTTATAGAGCCAGTATCTTCAGGGATTTATTTAGTGAGTTATTATTAACTGCTTTCATGGGTAGAAAGAATGTCTTCGAGTTTGAAACAAAGTTTAGGATAAATTCCTAGAAATAGAATTATTAAGTAAAGTGTTTACAAATTAAAAATTGTAATAAATACCAACCAAATTAAATACTTCTGCCAACAGTTTGTGAGAGTTTTATCCTTACACATAGAAGGTTACTTTCTTATAAAGGGACATTATGCACAACTTTAAGGAAAGATTTAACACTCTTTTTGTACTAAAATCTGTACCTATTTTCTGAATATTCAGTGACATAGGAATCCTTCATGGTTCCAGGATTCTTGCTTTGTGGGTTTCACCCATTAGAGAGTTCTGCAGCAACCACATGTCTTTGTTCAGGCAGTGATGTTTGTTGTTGCCTTCAGCTATTCTAACATTAATATGCGGTTGTGTTTTATTCACATATTAATTCACCAAGCATTTCTTAAACACTCATCAAGTGTCAGGATTATCTCCACAAGAAGCTAGGAAGAAGTGTTATGTCCATATAGTTGCCTGTGAATTTACTCATTTATTCCACACACTTGTTGCAAATGCCCATTGTGCAAGGCACTGTGCTAGGAGTCTGATGTGGATAAGTGTCCTGGACCTCAGAGCATGTACTGAGCAGGGGAACAGGTCCTGTAGAATTGATCTTGTCTTGGAATTCAGCTACCCCACATCCCATGAGCCAGATGTTTGCCCTTGACACTTTAAGCAACCTCTGTGTGAGAGGGGATGATGACCTCGGCCCTGGGGCTGTGGTGAGGGCCAAGCCAGACAGTGCAGCAGAAGCACCCATTTCATGCCTGGTACATAGCAGTTCCACTAGGGGCAGGCCCTCCTCATCCTCCTTGTCTGGAAATGGGAACTATACACCTCCTGTGGGCTGCTGTGGGGAGGATATAGCTGTCCTAGCACCCACTCCATGCCAGGCGTGCAGTAGGTGCTGATGAGATTACACAGCAAGTGTGGAGCTCGAGGTGAGAGGATTGTGGCTTCTCCAGGCCACTGTGTCCAGCTGCCATCTGTGCTTTAGCATGACATTTCATTTAGTCATTTTTTTTCTCTTTTTAAATAATAAATAATGTATGCCTACTACCCCCAACCACCAGTATAGAAATGTTTAAAGAAAATTTAATGGAATTCCTTTTTACTCTCTGAGAGATCTTTATTTTTCAGAGTGTATGGGTCAGCACCACTCCTCAGGTCTTAGTACTGGCAGCCATTGTCTCCTCCATCCCATGGCTAATGCTCTTCTGTACCACTTCCTCCCCACCTCCTATTCTCTTTCCCCTCCCCTCCCCTCCTCTCCCCTCCCTCCCTCCCTCCCTCCCTCCCTCCCTCCCTCCCTCCCTTCCTTCCTTCCTTCCAGTAGAATCCTCTGCATGTCACACTGCAACTTCCTTTTTTTTTCTTTTTAACTTTGCGATGATTTACAAACAATTTTTTCGCACCTGGTGATTTTTCCACCTAGAGAAAAACCACAGACAAACCCAGCTTCTGGATCCCAGTCTTTGGTGTGAGCCTCTCAATTGAGAAACCTGTAACTGGCAGCTGGCCCTTCCCAGACTCAAGGAGGCAGAGAATAGAAATTCAAAGATCTGCTCCATCTAGGCCAAGAGGGTGGGATTAGCTGCTTCCTCACATCTTAGCAAGTGCAAAAGTGGATGTCAGCAGACACAGGAAGCCCTCATTGTTTGAAGATGTCCACAAAAATCTAGAAAAGTGGGAAACAAACCCGGGCTGTGTGTGTGCAAGTGATGTGCGTGGGCACTTGTCTGCAGTGTCAGAGCTTTTGTTCAGTAAGAACTGCTGTGGTTCCTGTCTGAACAACCAGACTGAGATGGTGAGCTTCTGATGGGTCCCTGCAGTGGAGCTGAGTATGGAGCACAAAGCGAGAGCTGGGAATCAGATCTCTTTGAAGTAACCGTGCATTTGGAAACATTCAGATGTGATGGAGACTGAAGCCCATACCACAACCTTTGGACTTAATCTGGTCATGATGATGATAATAATGGTGACAACAATACCATTTACCACATACCAGCCAAGCACTGTTCTCAGCATTTTATATCATTTAGTACTTCCAGCAACCCTTTGAGGTGGTACTCTTGCCATTTTCCTACATTATAGGTGAGAAAAGTGAAGTACAGAAAAACTTGCCCAAACTCAGGACCAAGCTCAGGATTGGTAGAGAAGGGAAAAGGTAGAAACTGCCCCATTTTGTTCCCCAATCCAGGTTGGAAATAGATCTACTTAAAGGTTGAACCCACTAACAATTTATAACTGGAAGTTATTACAGTGCGTAGTAATTTGTAACTAGAAGTCTTTCAGTTTTACAATGTGAAGTATAACCGCAAATGGATTGGAATCTCTTGCTCATCACTCAGCAGATTCTCAGCTTAGGAGACAGAAGTTGTTTTAGAAATAACTTTGAACATGGCTTGGGCTTCAGTGTCAGAGCAGAAGGGATTTGGTCCCTCTATAGCAGAGACCTTCCTTCTCCCCTCCTGCCCCCCTCATCCTGCATGGCCATTTTTTTGAGTTCACAAACAGCGCAGCAGGTGTTTGAGTATTAGAAAGGCATTGCCAAAGAGGTTCTTTCCTCCCAAGTGTATGTTTTTCTTGAGCACTTGTGTTGCTAGTGTTAATTTCTAATGCTTCTTTGAATATATTTTTGTTGATTTTATTCAGAAGAAATTCTGCTTGACTTTGTTGGACTAGCTTATTTCCCATAGCCATTCTGGCATCTCCCACATCCTGTGACTTTTTACCCCTGTCCATCTTCTGTGTCAGTATAGAATGCTAACTTTCCTTCCTGAGGAAGCATGTGGCTGTCACTTTGCCCTTTAGGACAGCATCTTATAGGAATCCACCTGCTCCCTCCATGAGGTCCACCCAGTAATGGGTGGAGTCTTCCTCCCGGTGAGGCAGGGAATATTCAGTAGCAGAGGAGAAGAATATATTGGGTGTTTCTGTTTTAGTGCCCCCATTGTGTGAAGATGACAGTTCCTCTTCAGAAGGCCCGCTAAAGCAGACCCAGTGGGAGGGAGGAGTGTTGGAGATGTGGAGGGTAAAGGGAGACAGGCGACAAGGAGTCCAGAGCCAAAGGAGATGTTGGCAGAGAGAGGATATGAACATGGTTAGCTGCTTTTCACCTATAAGGGGCTGTCTGTTCATTTTACTTATTAATGTAAGTTCTATTGAATTTTGTGAACAGTGTTTTTAAATTTTTGTCTTCCTTCATTATAAAAAAATGTAGACTTATCAGTTAAAATTTAAAAATCCAAACATGAGCCCTGGCTGGATAGCTCATTTGGGTAGAGCATTATCCAAAATGCCAAGGTAGCGGGTTCAATCCTCATCAAGGCACATATAAGATGCAATCAATGAGTGCATAAATAAGTGGAACAAGAAATTGATATTTCTCTCTCTCTCTCTCTCTCTTTTCTCCCCTTCCTCTCTCTTCATCTTGGTTTCTCTCTCTCAAATCAACAAAATAAAAAATAAAATAAAACCCAAACATGATGGAAATGTTAGAGTGAAAAATTCCCAAAACCTCCTATCCTGAGATAACCATTGTCAGCAAATTTTCTTGTAGACTTTTTCCCATTTGAATTCTAAACTGTAATCTTCCCATTGATTTGATTAATACTGACTTACTGTGTTTGTGATGCCAAGTATCTGTGAATTGTTTTCTAGTTTAGAAATGGCACCAACATACTGCAGTGAGGCAGGGGCCCTGTGTAAAGTGCACGCAGCCTTCCTTCCGGAGTTCTTAATTCAGTGTAGGCTGTGACTATACAGGTGTGTAGGGGGCCTGGGAGCCTGCATTTCCAGCATGCTTCCAGGAGATGCCTGGCTTCTGCTTGACAGGCCCCGGTTTGAGCAGCACAGGACTGAGTCCTACACCTCCAGGCTACGCATGTGCATGTCAGTGAGCTGAAAACCCCCTGGCCAGAGTCTCATAGCTGCATTCGTAGCTCATTCCGTAGTTGTAGGCAGCCATCCAGAACCATCAACAATATGGAGTCCTGAGGAATAAAAGGTCCAGTGTCATCAGTAGCTTTGATGAAGCATTTTGTGCACTCTCAAGTTGATGGGCATAGCCTGTGCTTAGGGAAAGGGTAACCCCACAGTGTGAGTGTTGCTTTAAGGAAACAAAAAGCACAGAGCAAAAGGAGCATGGTCCACCAGGAACTGCCATTTTCTTTGGAGTCAGTGTCTTATTTGTGGTGTTGAGTGGTCTTCTGTATGCACATATGTGTAATCTTATTCCCAAACCACTTTTTTTATTGTTCATCTTAACCTGTGTTACAAAAGCATATTTATGGGGTGATGAAAATATTCTAAAGTTAGATTGTGGTGATGGTTAAAAAACTCTACATATGCTAAAACCCTTGAGTTGTACACTTTAAAAGGGTGAATTTTATGGCACATTGATGATCCCAGTAAAGCTGTTTTTAAAAAGACAAAAACTACACTTAAATAAATATTCACCATTAAATCCAAATCCTGGGCAGGATCAGAATCTGGAAGCTCCTGTCTGCGAGTGTCCTGAGCTTGCCTTAAAGAGCCCACCTCCCCTGCCTTTCTGTCTGTCTCCTCCGTGAACACTAGATGCTCTAGTTGCTCTTGTTTCACTTGTAAATTCACAAATGCACTAGTGATGACTGGAAAATCACATTTTGGTGAGAATGTGGAGGCTGGCGGCCTGTGGATCCCAAATGATTCCAGTTCCTGCCTAATTCAGAGCTCACTGAGGGCTGCACCTTGGTGATCGATGGCTGGGTGGGGAGGGTCAGAATGGAGTTCTGTGTGTGTGAGGGAGATGGCTGCTGTGCATACCTGAATTTGAAGCTTGAGATGGCTAGAGCAGTGAAGAGAGTCTCAAAATCAATATTTAAATATTACTTTTAAAGTTTTTTCTTTCTTTAAGAGTGCTCATTGCAGAATATTTACACCAGTATTCTTAGGTTTTGTTCCATCATCAAGACTCATTAGAAATGCATTTTCCTCAGCCCTGTCTTAGACCTTGAATTAAGTTGGAGCCCAGCAATCTGCCTTTTTAACAAGCGCCCCCCCCCCCCCGCCCAGATAGTTCATAAGCATGTTAAACTTTTAGAAAATATATAAAAAATAAAAAAATGAACTCTTGTAATTACCTTTCTTAAAGATGACTACTTTTGGGGCTAATTCTTTATAGCAGTTTTACCCACCTGGGTGTGTCTGTCTTTATGTGTTTTTACAAATTTTATTTATATTGTATTTATAGTTTTGTACCTGTTTTACCCTCTGTTTAACATTATATCCTGAGCAGTTTCCCATGTCATTAAATATTCTCCAGAAACATGATAATTAAACAGTTAATTTTCAGTCTGTTTTACCCTCTATCATTTTAAAAAGCTCAGCCCAGGCCAGGACAGGGATAAGTGACCACCTTATTTCTTCCTGGACCCTGTCTTGTAAATTAGAGATGGGTTCCAACGTGGTGAAATTCATGCAGTCTTTATTCTACATTGGAAAGTAATGTAATGGGTGTCTCCTTAGTTTCATATGCAGATAATTTAATAGCCAACTCATAACTTAGGGACAGTTCTGTTTAGCATTTCTAGAAAGTGTTCCATTTTTACTTTTGACTTAAAGTGAATCTGTGTAAACCACAGTCTTGTCTGCATGTCTGGACCCATTCCTACTTTTGACATCAAGGCAGGGTCATCTCTGGCAGATTCCTATTTTTTTACACAGTAGTGGTCTTTTGTGCTTAATTTTAACTTGGATTATTAATCATTAAAAGATAATTTTAATACATTTTAAATATCTTTAGTGTTATGTGTTTTATTGGGTCTACAATTTGACAATTATCACCTACAAAATGATCGCATGGGTTCACTTCCTTTAAACAACAGTAATCATGACCATAGTGTTTATTGATCTTACTACCTTTCCATCTTCAGCTCAAAAGATGTGCCAGTCAGAAATAAACATAGTTATCTGCAAAACAAGAGAAAGCCCTCTATTCCCTAGACCTAGATTATTTGGGGTATGGTCAATTAGGAAGTTTCAGGAAAGAAAGATGTAAATCATTTTGGGGGCGTTTTCTGGCTAGACTTGAGGAGGAATCGCTTGCAGAGAGTAATGACATGCCCATCTCTTTCTTTTGTGACAGATGCCAGAGATGCAGAACAGTTGAGCAGGAACAAGGTGACCCACATCCTATCTGTCCATGATAGTGCCAGACCCATGTTAGAGGTAAGAGCGTGTGCTGAGGTGCAAGGGACACCCATGCGCTCCTGTGGTTGCTGTTGTGCTCCGGGGACTTACATCCACAACCTGCCTATGGAATGTGGAGGGTGTGTTGTTCCCATTGACTCCTGCTACATTGCGGGCTTGGCTTTCTTGACTATGTACCAAAGATAAGCTGATGCTGTACTGATTTCCCTCTGGGCTTTAAGGACATTTCAGACCCATTCCATTCCTTTCAAAATTATCTCCAATTTTAGAATCCAAAAGAATCTGGGCTGCTCATTTCCTAGTTGTTGTTTTTTCCTCACTTAAGCTCAATTATGTACCATTTGCATTTGGGAATAAAAGATAATGGGAGATAAGTCATCACTGGAGATTTTCGAAGGCTCCTCTGGTACAGAGGCTGTCAGTGTAGAAGCTGTTGTGTATTCGGTTTTCAAGTAAACAAGGTGTGTCTGCCTGTACATTAATTCCCAAACCATCTTCAATGTTACCCCAATGGACTGTGTGAGCTGTTGTCCAGGAGCCAAATCTGTTTCTCTCCGTTAGCCTTGGCAGAGCCCAAGTTACCCCTTTTTAGGAAAGTAACGCATGTGTGGTTGTAATGTGTATTGTGTTTTTCTGTTGTAGGGTAGGGTTTTGGAGAAAATGGGGTGATTTGTTCTGAAAGAAATAATCATAGTTCAAGCTGTTTTCATTTAAATTCATATTATACAAGAATAGATCATACACTTTTATTGTTAATCTATTTTCCTTAGCCATTAGAGCTGCCAGATTAGAGTTAGTGTAAAACAAATGAGGACATGGAAGAAGAAGTGATTCTGTCAAATGTTGTACAGAGAACTGTAGATGGTAAGCAGCTTGGACCATTTCTTGAGATCTGTGAGCTGGCACTTCTGTTTCAGCTCATACTTCTTGTTAAGGTGCTATAATTTGTGTTGCAGTAAGATTTCATTGAAAAACACAACAACAATAGCACACCATTTTGGGGAAACATAACAGTTCCATTTTTTCATCTATGAATGACAGTTTGTATTTGAAGCATAGCCAGGGTATGGCCACCATCATAAGTTAAACATAAACGGTCATGATTGATTTCCTCTTAGATCATAACATGAGACTTGAGGTTTCCTTTATTTAATGAATGACATAGATGTCCTTCACTCCTCACCCTCCAACCCCGCCTCCTGACTTGATGCTCCATTTAGCGGAGCACGTTGTCCTTGTCCTGTATGAACATGGCCCTTGACCTGTCCCATTTGTAGCTCCTGCTAGATACAAGATCTGCAAGTGTTAGAAGTAAAGGAGCTTCAGCCCCAATCTGCCCAACCTCTCATTTTACACACAGGAAAATGAAGGGCTAGAAAGTGAAACAGGTGGGATTGTAGCCCAGTGTAGAGACCACTGTTTGCCTAAAACCCTCAGAGCTGTGGACAACTGTGTTCCCATCAATAATATACTGCATATTTCTTTTTAGTCCCTACATATCTCAGTCTAACTTCACAAGTAATTCATGAATACATTCATAAAAAAATAGAACAATAGCCTCTATAAAGTACATCCACCATGAAAGAACTCATGAATATGCTGACGACATCCTTACTTATTATGCACTTACTGATTTTATTTAGGAAAGACTCTAAGGAACTTGGTTGATTTTAGTTAGATTAGATCTGATTTTTCATTATTTGGATAATTGGGGGGTTTCCAACATGGCATTAGCAGGGTCTCCCACTCTTCCTAGCAACCTGATATGTGGAAGAAAATGAAAGACGCGGTTCTCGACCTCTAGAGTGGCTGGGCCTGACCCTGGGCCTGGAGTGCAGCAACTTGTCTCTGGTGTTTCTGTGCTGGATGAGATGAAGTTCTTCATCCTCTGAACCAGGAAGCCAGATGGTCAGCTAAGGGGAAGAGGTCTGAGGCTTCAATTATTATCTCTTCCGAAGATTATCTGAGGAATAGATCTTCTGGAATGAAGACTCTTAGAAACTTGGGCACCTTCATACTCACTTGAGTCAGCCCTAAACTAACAGGAGATGCTGAAGAGCTCTGGCTCCCATTTTCATGCCTGCTGCACAGGGTCCTGGAGATGACCTCCTTGATCCCATCACTGCGAGCAGGAAGCTGAAGTTCAGAGATGTGCAGGGACTTGTTCTTGATCCCACAGCTGGTGTATGGCTTTGTGGAAACCTGGATCTTCTCTCCGGTTTTCCAGTGTGCTTCCCTGCCGTGGTTCTCTGGTGCCCCTGACTTTGCCAACAGTATTGGTAGATGTTGCCACATCAGCTTGGGAAAGGGTTGTACCATTTGTGTCTTGATTAACAGTGTATGAAAGTGTGTTTCCCCAGACTACCACCACCACCGAGTTTTATTCTTCTTTACTTTTAATTAGCAATATTTTTGTTTTTTATTATTGCCTCAAGTGCCTTCCTCACACTGTTTAGTCTTTTGTCTAGACATTGAAGGCAGGGAGTTAATGATTTATTCATTTCTTGAGCTCCTACTACATACCAGCCCCAGGGTAGGTGCGGGAGATAACAGAAGTAAATCTCAGTATCTGCCCTGGCGAAGCCCTTAATGTATAAAGAGGATATGTATTATGGTTATTTTATAAATATCTCTCTATATAAAACCCTAATATGCAAATAGACCAAATGGCAGAAAACCAAACAACCGGTTGCTATGACATGTGCTGACCATCAGGGGCTGTGCATGGAACATGGCAGGTGTCGGCCAAGGTGGGATGGTGGAGCAGGTGAGCAGAGGCGCCAGACCAAGGCGGGCGCCAGTCACTGTCATCGGGGTGAGCCTCTGGTGGTTACTGAAAATTCTTTGCTCCCGTACACCACAGTTCTGTCTGGCGCTCACTCCTGCTGCCGGCGCCGGAGCCACTGCTTGCACCCACTGCCGGTGCCCAAAGCAGGCCCAAATCGCTCGGCACCATCAGCAGGTGCGAGTGGCAGCTGCCATCCCCGATCACCCCTCAAGGCTTCTCCACCTCCCCCTGTTCCTGAGGGGCAATCGGGGCCAGTAGCTGCCTCTCACACCCGCTGCAGGTACCAGCACCACCACTCGCACCCACTGCTGACGCTGTCCCTGGTTGCACCCGCAGCTGGCGCCGGAGCTGCTGCTCGCACCCGCTGCCGGTGCCTGGCGCCAGTCCTGATCGCTCGGCGCTGTCAGCGGGTGTGAGTGGCAGCTGCCAGCCCCGATCATCCCTGAGGGCTTCTCCACCTCCCTCTGCTCCTGAGGGGCAATCAGGGCAGCAGCCACTGCTCATACATGCTGATGACGCCGGCCCAACTCGCACCTGCTGCTGGCGCTGGCCATCAGTGGGTGCAAGTGGGACCAGCGCCATCAGTTCATGGGAGAGGCAGCGGCAGGAGCAGGGCTGCCGGCAGACAGGGGACCAGGGGCCACAGTGGGAGGGGTCAGGCGGGGGCGCAGAGGATGGGCTGAGACCCGCCCCTGTGCCCACTGCAGCCTCGTGGCCCAAGTTCCTTTCAAGGTGCATGAATTTGTGCACTGGGCCCCTAGTTAATAATAATTACAGTCAGTGAAACAAGAGCTCTGGCTCTGGGCAGGCCTTTGGTGCTAGGAATCAAGTAGGAGCTGAGGCTGTGGAAGCTCCAGAAACAAGGTTCCTCTTCTGCTGTGTATATCTGGGGGCATGTGCAGTGACCTGGCGTTTGACCAGAGCTTTGGAAGGGACTGGAAATTTGGGAAATCTGGTTGGTGGCATTTGAGCCAGGCGAGGCTGGCAGTGACAAGACATGATGCTTCTGGTGGGGCCCTGACACCACAGACCATACCTGTCTTGTCCACTCCCTAGAACTGGTGAGCCAGCAATGCAGATGGCATCATCCCATTGACAGCTGGCTCACGTACCCTGCCAGCAAGTGGCAGAGCCATCAGGAAATAAATCATTGCCACATACATGGTTTCAACATGAATGAATCCCAGCCCTGTAATTATAACATACACTGCATGTGTAGGTCTTGGTTGAGAAGCTACTTGCATTTAGTCAGAAGTGTTTTCTCATTTGTGAGCTGTGTCTTTAGCGCCTACTGATGGCTTCAGATTTGAAGGGTGGTTAAAAACTTCTGCTACAGAGACGGTGCTTTTCAAATCAGAACCCTCATATTGTTCAAAGGTGCTAAGGAAGTAATATTGAGTAATGAAAGGTTTCTCCCTTCCTCTGAAAAAAGAAACAGAACTCTTTCTAATGTAAAAGATTTCAGTGTTTGTTTCATTTTTCATTCTGGGTATTTAACCAGAACACCTGCAGGAAACAAACTATTTTTCACTACTAACAAAAATGCTTTAAAAGGAAATTCTCATTCCTTCACTGGGCTAATAGCCCAAAGAATTTTAATTTTTAAATGATGTACATTTTAGGATTAAATAGAAAAAATATAGTTTGGTAACAGGGTTTCCCATGCAGTCATGTGTGGAATAGTTTACCCCCCTATATTTAAACCAGATGTTGTATGTCTAACCAGATAGGTTTGTTTTGTTTCTTTATTTTTATTGATTTCAGAGAGGAAGGGAGAGGGAGGGAGAGCTAGAAACATCAATGATGAGAGAGACTCATTGATCGGCTGCCTCCTGCACACCCCCTACTGGGGACCAAGCCCATCACCCAGGCATGCGCCCTTGACCAGAATCAAACCCGAGACCCTTCAGTCTGCAGGCCAACGCTCTATCCACTGACACAAACCGGCTAGGGCCAGATAGGTTTTTTTAAGCTTAAATTCAGCTTGGATATTTTTTTTTCACTTTAAGTTGTGAGTTTTATATTTTTAACCATGTAAGTTGCAGTTTTTTATTATAATTTTTTAAGAATAAGATGTTTTCATAGGCAGGCATTTATTCCTGGTGATTCTGTTTTATATTTCCTTTAATACTAAAGACATTCTTTTTTGAGGTGTCTAGGCTCAGAATTTTCTTTTGATAGTTTGTTTGCAGTTGGCCCCTTCTGATTCTGGTATTTACTGTTATCTATA